GGATCGACAAGACGCACAGGATCGATACGTCTAGCACGAAAGAATATTGTGCTCTTAGCAGAAGCTGGATGGCGCCTTTTCCAAGAAAGGTACGCTTACAGCGCCCTATCAAGCTGCAACATATTTCGGACGCCCACCGCGCCCGCCCACAAATGTCCGACCGATGCTGATGCTTGTATCGCTTCATTTGCGATGTACAGTGTGAAGCGAAGGGATTAATACGAAGTGGCTGCTATGCTGCATGAATATATAAGAACAATACCGTAGCGATTATTGGCACGATGCCAACGGGGAACTTGCTTTCTGCTTTCTGAGTCGTGTAGAACAAAGGCTTTTCAGTTTTTTGACGGTTTCACTTCGCTTTTCGCCATTTCCCCCTATCTAGCACCCTGCTACCATTTTAGACTGTGTACCAAATTATCGTGCCATTATGCCTTTAAGAATTCCTCAACGCTACACAGAGGCCGGGAAGGGGGAATTTGCTTTCATACGAACCCATAGTGGAGGTGGTTTCCCAGCGATATGGAGTACCGTAGTCTTTTGCATGCACGATCGGACCTATCTCCATATTTAGAATTGTATCTGCTGCTTTGAATTTTTAGTGGGGAATGGTTGCTCGCGGGAGGGAGTATGGGTACATAGCAAAACAATCGCAATGTGCTGCACCAGTGGGCGTGGTGAGCGTCGCCGCGCCAAGCAGACGAGTTTTCCTGTCTGAACGCTTGAATATGAGTGTCAGAGGAATGAGAAAGTTCTATATTGCACACCATGGAGTCTTGCCTTTGATTGATTTGTATGAGTTTCACTGCTCTAATCGACAAAGTGATGAACATCAAGAACTTGCCGCGCATGGCCGCACCGCCGCGCGCGGCAATGCGGCTTTCGAATGATATTTCATTCTTGCTTGTTTTAATGAGTACCGTAATTGTCGCAGAAATTTCCACTCAGCCCGACTGGTTCCGTTCACTTTTGACCCTCTTTGACGGAGTCCGCTAAAACTTTCAAAATATGCAGTTGGTAAATTCGAATTCCGTAGTGACTAATGGAACAGGGTTCAAATCCTCGGTTTCTTCCTTCATCGTTGTCATTTTCAGGTCTCCGGCACGGCCATTCGCCCTACAGGAATCTCTCGCTGTGCAGTATGTGAAGTTCCCACCCAAATCATCGCGGTTCATTCTCAAGATACTGTAGTGCCTTCATGCCCAGCCGGCTGGAGAGGACTATGGACTGGTTATTCATTCGTGATGGTAAATCAAAAGGAAAAATTATCCTCAGTTTTGCCTTCAACACACATGGCTAATGCGTGACACTTGCAGCATACGGCAGCTGGCGCTGAAGGAACAGGGCAATCTCTACAGTCACCTGGTTCTTGTTTGGAAGAGTTCCGAGCAGTACCGTTCATTGAATGTCACGGACGAGGCACATGCAACCACTACGCCACGAACCACGGTTTCTGGCTTGCTATTGTCGACAGTGTAAGGACGAAGTTTTGTGGTTGAGACTCCCCCTAGACCCTTACCACGAAGATGTGGAGGGCGTGGCTGCGTACCTCATACCTCACACCTCACTTAGTCCTGGCTTAAGCTGTGGTTTGGTGGAATATTTCCATTTAAGGTAACTGTCATCTTGTCCTGTGCTGGACAAGACATTATTACAGTTGCCCCAAAACGAAAAGTTCACGTCAAAGGCACATCAGCCGCCACCTCCATGTGAAGTACGCAACCACGCCCACTCCATCTCTGGGATACAAAGTGTAGCTTACTGCATAGCAGTGGGAAATCAGAAAACTTTCAGGACAAGCAGTTCCGTAAGCCGATGTCACAAACGCTCAAAGCGGGCGGCTTGAAGGATCGCGTGTCGCGCTGCCAAGTTTGTCTGAAGAATCGATAATCGATCGCCTATCCAGCTTTATTTATCGATTATTAGACATACTTAACACTTATTGCCAATATAATTTTCTTTTTTATCCACATTGTTCTTAGCTGCTTTCTCATCTCATATCACTAGCCTTCTCATACTGCCTTCTGAATAACTCATCCGTGGTGCTTCAAGTATTTCATGTGTCTAGAAGTTATTATAACTTTATTACATTTAATAGCTCTAATAATTACTGCCATGTGAACTCTGCCAATTTGCAGTACAAGTAAAAATGAGAGTTTATTTGCTACGGACCAGATGCTCTTTGTGGTGAAAAGAAATTATGTTCATGACGATTGTTATTGTTTTTGCCATAGATGTTCATCTGGGAAACAACTCAAGTCTCCGCGTCTCATCATTTAAATTTGCATTTTTTTTGCAGCAGCGGCTGGGGTTCCGTTCACACCTAATGGCACTGGAGAGCAGGGGAATAGGGGCTAGGAGGAAACGATCTTTAGAACCACGCGACGTCGCGTGCGCGGCAACCTGCAAACACCGTGGGCTGGCGATGAACTCGTTGAGTAATTGAATTGGATTGTGTCCGCTCCAGTTTTCGGCCACGCTCTTCACTCTAGCGAGAACTAGATCGTCATGACAGTTAGATTTTGTTTTATATACATAACAAGGGTGACTATGTAGCAATTATGGTGCAGAGAAACCTGCACAGATTCTGCTCGCGAGTCAGTCTAGCTTACCTGATGATCCCTAATCATTTGACAGTCACAATGCTTTCTGGACAGCATACTCTCATAGACTCTAATCATTGTCGTTCTGCTGAGGTACGAGTCTGGCCTCTTGAGGAAAAAAAACAGCGGCCAAATGTCACTGTCGCGAAAGCGAAACCATCGCGAGCGCGCGCTGATCATAACCATACGGTGTTTGCAATTATCGCGCGCGTGGTTCTACCGTAACATCCCTAGCGCAAGGTGTGAAGCCGGCGCAACGCAATGCCTGCTCAGAGTGCTGGCTGTATTGCTAGGGGTGCTAACCCTACACGTCTTGGGGATTTAGCCACTCGCGTTTGAAGGCAAGTTCAGCGCCTTCTTTAGACATGTTGTCCTGCGCACAAACATTGAGGATGTACTATTAGGCTGGGTAGGGAGGAAGACATCTCGTCAAAATACTCTACAATTATCTGAAGAGCTGTGACTGACAATGTGAGCAGTGGTATCCAAGCCACTACTGTCCTCACCATTAGCAATAGTACCATTCATTTGACTCTTACTTCTACTTTTTTTGCAATATAGACAACAACTGCGTCTCACACTGTAGGCTCCGACTCTCGTACATCTTCCTCACATTTCTTCTACCACCCTGACAGGAGCGTGAGGGGTGCCATGTCAATATGAAGGAGCTCCCTAATGATTCCCACAATCATCGAACATCTTCCACGACAACACTGCCTCAAAACGGGAACCTGCTGTTGTGAAGACGAAGCGGGGTCTGGATGTTCATAGCATCTTAGGTTGAGGGAGCTGCGAGATCTGAAGCATCGTCAATCAGATTGAAAAACCTGTCCCCACAGTATGCCTCCAATATAATACCACAGCTCACACCCTCCAAAAAGGTTGAGCAGAACCTTATGCAATCAAAGTAGATGGCTCCCCTTTGCATCGGTTCAGCACGGATATCCTCTTTCAGCTAGTCGTTTCCCAAAGTAACCCGTGAGATGGACACAGAGGGGCGTCTTAGTAAGTTTTCCGGCTTTCCCGTTTTCGAGCGTATCGACTTTCTATTTGCCGATTCTTCTGGCAGGTGTGACCAGTATTTCACAGACCGACTCCACTTCACTACATATGTGTGGGTGCCAAACATCACATAACAGTTCCTCGGAACGGCGCGCATCATATAGTGTACTTCGCTGCGGACGGTTGGGCGTGTCAGTGCGTTTGGCGCGGTGCCAAACTCGTTCTACACCAGTTGTTGAAGCGGGCAAGTGACAATACTGTATCATATCCTTCGTATTACTCGTTTTCTACCACTTTTTGTCGCATGCGCGCTTCAACAAGAAGGCAGAGAACGGCTTTGACGGGGTGACACACTCATACTGGCTGACACGCCCAACCGTCCGCAGCGAACTAGAGTGCATATGTATAGTTTCGCTGCGGACGGTTGGGCGTGTCAGGCGGGATGAGTTTGGCGCGGTGCCAAACCCGTTCTCCACCAGTTGTTAAAGCGAGCAAGTGATATGACTGTATCATATCGTTCGTATTACTTTTCTACCACTTTTTGTCGTGCGCGCTTCAACAAGAAGGCAGAGAACGGCTTTGACGGGGTGACACACTCATACTGCCTGACACGCCCAACCGTCCGCAGCGAACTAGAGTGTACAAACAGACGTCTCTTCACCACACCTAGTTGTTGCAGTTTTTTTGTTTTTGTAAGAAGTGAGCAACATCAGAAGGCGAGCAGTTCTGAAACCAGCGGACAACTCGTTGTCAGACCAAATCTTTTTGAGCCGATACGACTACATATCTCAGCACTTTCTTCCTTATGGCTTGATATGGGAGCTATGCAAAGCGGACACTAGTAACGGCTAGTTGTCATTACACCACTTCCGCGCTACCGTATCCCACGCCTAGTAATAATCATTTTCTAGTGTCCCCATCGACAATCAGGTGCTAACGTATGGCCGCGTTCATACATGATGCAGAAATGCAGAACCACGGAATGTGCAGAACTGCGGAATTTGCAGACCTGCGGAATTGGGAGAACCGCGGAACTTGCAGAAAAAAATGTCTATCGATTTCAAAAACCGTGGAATATGCAGAAGTGCGGAATTTGCAGAAATGCCGATGGACCGATCGATCCCTATCGCTTCTTTGTCCGTCATTTCTGCATTTCTGCAAATTCCGCGGAACCTCATGTTGACGCGGATATAACACCGTCCTAGCTATATTTGAAAGCTTAAGCAGTTAACGCTGAAAAGTGCGAAGAAACAGTTGTAGGATGGAAGATTTTGCCTAAACTACCAACGATTGTTGCCTTTTTGATGTTGACCGTTATTCTTGACTACAAAAGATCAAACATTTGTTGTTCTCAGCTTCTGTGGGATTTCTCAGCAAGTATTCGGTGAATCTTGTTTGTTTATTCTAATTTTGCTGCTAGATTAGCGCTCTAAGTATGTCAATGAGTGAAGAGCCGATGAGTCATCACTCGCCGCGAGACGCGTGCCCCCCCCCCCCGAACTGACCGTTAGCCGACATCATTCTGCCTATTAGTCGTTTTCTCCTTGTTTTTTTTGTTTTTTTTTTGTTTTTGCTATGGTCTTAGGCGTTCCGCACTTCTTGTTGTTGAGTTTACTTCCATTTTTCGTCGATTGTGTAACTATACGACCATAGCAAAACAAAAAAAAACAAGGGTACGACTACTAAGAGAATGATTGTCGATGGGGACTCTAATAAATGATTATTACTAGGCGTGGGATACGGTAGCGCGGAAGTCGTGTAATGACAACTAGCCGCTACTGGTGTCCGCTTTGCATAGCTCTTGATATGGAGGCATCTTGTTACACAAATCTGAGAATCGGATATGTAGAGCATCCGCAAAGAAATCATCTCCGAACTACCAGTATTTTTGAAGAAACACCAAAACGCAAAAACGTGCAATAGAGAAACAAAAAAGACGAGGAGTTACGGTCATTCTCGGATTCCGTGAATGCGGCAAGTCGAAAGCTTTTGCGACGCTTCTTCTTTGGAAAACGCAGCGATGTTTCTTATTGCATTTTACACAATCAAGCCTTATATTCAGGAATGGTGGACCCTATTGGTGGGCTGGAGGCGTTGTGGAACTGGAGCGGGAATTCGGCCGATTCTGTAGATGTCAAACCACTTGCAAATTACAGGTATCTATCATAGTCGTTTGCAAAGGTACATGGATACTATGAACAGTTTCCTAACAAAAAAGAATCAGAGGCTCTAACATAACTGGGGGCGCGGGAGTCCTTCGTCCGCGATCGGTTTCTTTCCTCAAAAAGGCTAAGGCTTAGACGCACACGACCGGAGTCGCCGTGGGATACCCTCGAAAAGAAGAGACAGTTTCCATTAACCCAAATTAGAAGAAACCTAAAGCATGGAAAACAAGGTGACGTGGTTTTTTTTCGTAATTGGCTTCATACAAACATCCTGATTAGGGAAAGGATACGAAGGCGCTGGCAAGTGATTTCCCTCCCTCCCCTCTCCCGCCCCCCCCCCCCACCCAAGCTGCACTAGCGTGAAATTAATTGTATCAGAGGAACGTTACAACAAAAATTGTGGGGTAAACACAATTGAATGGTCGAAAGCGTAGGCCGCGTTCATAGCTTGCGTTCGTGAAGAAATGCAGAAATGCGGAAAATGCAGAAGTGCGGAAAGTGCAGAAGTGCGGAATCTGCAGAAAAGCAATAGATACTTATCGACTTGAAGAAATGCAGAAATGCCGAAACTGCAGAAGTGCGGAAAGTGCAGAAATGACGGAAAGCATTTTATACCTATCGATTTGAAGAAATGCAGAAATGCCGAAAGTGAAGAAATGCGGAATCTGCAGAAATGCCGAAAGTGAAGAAGTGCGGAATCTGCAGAAATGCCGAAAGTGCGGAAAATCGATACGTATCGTTGCTTTTCTGCAGATTCCGCACTTCTGCACTTTCCGCAATTCTGCATTTCTTCTTTTTCTTCTATGACGGCCTTACCTTCACCTTTCTATTTAGTGGTATACCCTTGTTTAAAAAGTCACATACTTCTGTGCTGCGGTTTTCCCGGAATGATGAACGCTGCACTGCGCTTAAATCGGAACTGCTGTTTTTCGCAATGTTTAAGGAAACTACGTCGTTTGAGAGGATTCTGACCTTGTTTTCCTTTAACAGCGCTTGCTTTCCTGCTTTTGTTATAAGAACTATTGGCATGCCCCCTACCCCTATTTGATCGATACCTGTACTTTCCTAGTCGAGGAACACGCTAGCGTAGGCTGGCGTCGAAACACTGACGCAAAGTATGAACGCACTCTCAGATGCATACGCAGTTGGAGAGCTTGCAGTATTGGGAGAGGTCTTAATTAGTACCATGGACGCATCCTGACACAGCACTGAGCACTTCTCAAGGCTATACCTCATTTCCAGTGTCGTAGGTATCAGTAGAGACAAATATACAATTGGATTACAGGTTTTGAAGTCGTAATTACTGCATTTTGCTGAACTGTTTTCATTCAGTTTTCAGAGACAAGCTTGCTGAAGGTAAACCAGAGACGATGATATGCCATGATATGAAAGGTGGATATTTGGAAGAAGAAAGGTGAGAGTTATTTCGACGCAAACGTAACTCGAACGCTTACTTGTTCTTCGAAAGAAAGCAGGGTCTTATTAAAGGTGCATAATGTTTGCAGTGAGGATGGGATCATCATCTCAGAAGAAACGCCGAGCCCTTATGTCTTTCTCAATTGGTGGAATATCGACATATTCTGCTACTTCTCACATAATTTTGTTACGATTCCACCCATAGCCTATATCAATATTGCTCACGCTCATGGTTGGTGTGCCTGTTTCTTTTGATAATCACCCTTTCCTTCTAGAAGAGCTGCGACTGAGTTCTCATTTGATTCCTGGTATATTCGGACCATTCCTAATCAGACAAAGGAAATCGAATCTGACAGTACTTGTCAGAACATGTTTCCTATATCCTTCTATATGCCGAAAGGGTTCGCGATTGTGAGTCGGAAAACCCTCTGTAGTTATGTAAGACTGATCCGCTAAACTCTGGGCTGCAGGTAAGAGCTGTGGAATTAAGACCTTAGCGGTACATCTGTACAGGCCAGTAACGCACATCAGACCCGCCTCTCCAGGCATTGACAAACAAGCGAAAAAGCGCAGTGTCTGTTACCCTCATTCCTGTGGCGTCTGCGTCCGCCTGAATTCTCGTGCCGGCGTCAGCACTTTTTTGGGGCGTTTGATAGTTGAACAATCGAACTCGACTGTAAAAGAGTCTCTTGACTATCTCTCTCACCGAAGAAAGCTTGAAAGTGTGCGGAACAATCAAATCTTTCAAAATCGAAAAGACTGTAGCTGAAATTCAGCTGGTGCAAATTTTCAAGGTTTTTACCATTTACGTTGAGAAGGTCTCTGCAGTTTTTAGAAACAAATGTGAAGCCCGATCTCTCTTTTGAATTTTGGAGTCATTTGTAAGTTTGGGATATTCTTTGCAATCCCTAAAAGCAAAAGCCATAGGTGAACCGAGAGAGAGAAAGCAATCTAGGGTGATGGTGATGTTCGGCTTAGGGGGTGGGAGGAAGGTCAGCGAATTTGGAATTTTGCTAGTTCCTGTTGCTAGTTCTGCGCTCAATTACACATTTCAGCTTAATAAGACCTGTGAACTCCTGTGAAATATAAACGAAGCTCATTCTGTTGCATAGCTTTACGGAGTTTTCAGGTCTCCGCAAGAGTTATCAGCAGTGCTTCAGAGGAAACAGTAGCACGACCCCACCAAGCCGAAGGCGCTCAGTCAAGGATTAATAGGATAATACACCCATGTTTAGGCTGCCTAGCATTGGGAACTTTCATTACCGAATGGAAAGGCGGCGCCAAAATATGTGACCAAATCCTGGGATCAGAAGAAACTGTGGAGAAAACGGTGGATTGCCTTGTCTCGGTTGCCGTGCACTACAAATTTGACGGGTGGTTGATCAACATAGAAAACAGAATCCTGGTAAGCTGCAGTTATTCTTTGATAAAGACTGCACCAAATAAACCCATTCATAATCAATGCAGGCTAAACATATCGATAATCTTACACTTTTTCTACGACTCTTAACTGACCGGATGCGCGTAGCAGTTGGATTCTCGCGGGTTATTTGGTACGATTCTGTTACTGTGACGGGTATGCTGAAATGGCAAAATATGCTTAATGAATATAATAGGTACGATATAATGTGAATTTCCTCCTCTTCATCCAACTCTAAATATGGGTTCAGACTTCGTGACTGCAGCGCCTCGGTCGCGCATTCGACGCGATCGATGCGCATGCTTTCGACTGCGTCGATCGCGTTGAACGCGCGAAAGAAGCGCTGCCGTCGCGAAGTCTGAACGCTGCCTACTACCCTATTTTACTTTGCAAGGGAGTGGTACGAATGTTGTGACGGTATTTATTTGAACTATAATTGGAACGATGGGATGCTGCTGAGAAGCGCTGACTTTGGTGCCATCAACAGAATTTTCGTTGGAATTGACTGTTTCGCTAGAGGCTGTATTGGTAAGTCAGCCGTCTTGTGTTCCCCTTACTTGAAATAAGAAGAAATAACACTTATTTCTAGGAGGATGGGATTGCTACAGGTCATTTGCTAAAGCAAATTTGATGCGTATGTCGGTGGCGCTATTTGCTCCAGGATGGATTTGTGAACGATTTCCTCATGAAAATCCTATAGAACATGGATTGAGGTATGCTATTTCTCCGCACCGCTGTGATACCACATCATTTGGCATATTCTAAGGTTCTGGAACAAACTTCTTTTATACACACCTGCTCGACCCATCTTGGAGTTGCCCGTATCCACCAACTTCTGTGCAGGATTCACCAAAGATACAGAGGGGACGGTAAGTCACCAAACTGGTATTCAGTTTTAGCTATGTTAGAGACAAGCTGTGCACTCACCTCCGGGGACGGTCCTTTGATAATCAGGTGTCGTTTCCTGGATTTCACCCGTGCTATACTCAAAAGCATAAGGCACATCCTTAAAAGCATAAGGCACGAATTTGGACTTGTCCAGAGATAGTAGCAAGGGTGCTATATAGAAGAGAAAATGACGAAAAAAGTGAAAATAGGCATTCAAAAACTTGCTAAAAAATGTTTTCTCAGCGCAGCCTTCAACGAGCATTTTGGACGGCATTCAACCTATACGCACTTGCACGTATTTATCCTATACGTCTTGTCGATTTATCGTACCACTCACCCTTAATGAGGTGCAGCCCTTTGCGTCCGGTATGAAGCAGGTAGACGAATAACCGGAAGTGTAGGAGCAACGTAGCGCTTCTCTGGCGTATGGTCGGGAGTAAGGCGGCATGTGTAGCGCGGGTGGAGCCCCGGAAGGCGGGCACTGAGGCATTATCCATTCCGGGCCCGTGTTCTTATCACTTCTTTGGAAATGTGGAGAAAAGTGGCATGCACCCGACGGCTGGGACCCGTTTGACCACAAATCACCAACACTAGGGCCACGAGGTTAGGGTGGCAGTTTGTCTTTGAGTTAACTTAACAGGAGCGATCTTTTCCTTATGGAATTCAATAACCCGTAATTTTCAATCATATTACGTTCAAGAGATCTCTGTCGTGAGGTCAATAATCTAAACCTCACTTCGTTGCCAAATTAGAGCAACCTACGCCGACCAAAGATGGCGGTCTTTTGTTGCGTAAAGGCAGCTGTACTCGGTAGGTGCTTGGAAAACGTGCTGGACCATCTACCTTCTAGACTTACAATAATTTTTTCGGAGGCTTTTGTTCAAGCTTCCGAATTCCTCAAGTGTAGTGGATGCCATATAACAGCAAGAATAGAAGGGGATGTCACGATCATTGTCAACGACATGTTCAAGGTACACTCAAAGGAAAGGAGAGGACGTTTTCGTGACGATCAGCGAGCCTCATTACATTGCTTCGAAATACCTTAGATATATGTATAGACGACAAGATGGATTGTTTGTTGTGTAATATAACCATTGCAGAGATGTAAATATTTATTAAAAATAATTTATAAATCTGGCTGAAGCTCAATTCGTCGGATCCACGGCAAAGAACGGCTTTGAATCTCTATAAAGAATTTATTATGTGCAGCAATGAATCATAATTCACATGGACAACAAACCGAAACGTGGAAGCTTGTAAGGAGCATGGGTCTAGACGAAAAATAAAATGAGGGCATGAGGATAATTTCTACATTTCTATTCGCGACGGATCAAGGGGTGGTTAGGAGAAATGATTTGGCGCGGCGCCAAATCCGTTTTCCACCAGCTGTTAAAGCAAGCAAGCGACAAGACTGAATCATCTCGTTCGTGCCAGTCGTTTTTCATCAGTCGAAGCTTAGCCATTTCAAAAACAGGTTTGAGCCGCCGCAGGCTCATCATCTGAGATGTAGAATTCCTCCTTCGGTAAGGTGGATATGTACCGGTGAAGCTGTGACACTTCTACGTCTCCAAACGCGCCCATTTGTACATTTTCGCTCTTCGCCTAGCTTCCCTTACAATCATTTAGTGTTTCAATACGATCAAATACATTATTCCAACCTTGGTCTTTCCAGGTGTTCAAGTTTCTACTTGTCTTGAAAAAGGCACTTTGGTTCAGACCTGGAGTAACGATTTGGCCCAAACCTAGGTAATGAAACAGGGCAGAGGGGCGGATGAGGTGTAATAGCAACTGGCCTGATAAACTAGGGGTCAGGTAGCGAGGAACGAATAGTGGATCGACTCTTTCCTATGACAACCATTGGCACTACTTCAACTCTCGATCTTTGAAAACCGCTCAAATTCATACTTATGAGAATCACTTACACTGCAGAACACCGTCCCACACAAGACCAAATCTCTAATCAGAACCCTACTGAATTTGAAAATAATCAAGGAATAATAATAATTGTGCAAACGACTCACCTATTAAGCAGCGTATGACAAACTTGGCATACATTTGCGGGCCTTCGATTTGGCCCGCTTGGAACCGTATGTTGAACACAGGTTGAACAGAAGATTTTACAACAGTGCAGACACCTGAAGAATATGATATCTATCCAGTCATATATAGGGTGTAAAAATCAAAATGGGGGCAATTAAAATTACGAAGGTTTTAAATTTCGCTGAATAACTTTTTCTTTCCTTTCATTTTCTACTGAAACATGAATTTCATAGGATAGGGCACGCTATGGAGTAGGACATTGGGTAAGCGACCCCTTCGGCTTTGTAGGCACATCCACGTCTGCACTTCTTGAATCGATGCTTCTTAGTTTCACCGAGATTCTCACATAATTCTTTGATATTGTGATTAGAACGGCTTGTTCCTGAACGGAATGGATCGACTGATGATGCTAAACACAGTGACGATCCAAGACAGACGTTCAAGTGATAATATGCAGTGTTGGAATGTATAGAAACATCGATATGGCGTCGTGGGTGTTCCAACGATTCCGTGGAGGTCATTTGCGCGGTGTGCTATTCATACATAACCTTATCCTACAGGTCTTATGTTTCAGTGAAAACCTACAATTACAATAAGAAAGAAAAACTGTTTCGAGTTCTACTTGAAACGCGAGGTTTCTGACACCTTTTCAAAGCAACACACACAAGAAGGTTTCGAATTTTTGGACTTTTTCCACTCCAAGTTCATCCTCAACTACATCAAAGCAACACGCTTTAATCTAAGCACTTAAAAAGGAAAGTGAAGGTCTTGGCACTTCAAAACAATAAAGAATGAGTAAGAGCTAGAAAAATTACAACAGTACCTAGGTCGAGGCTTGACTTTCAGCACGGATGTACCACAACCTGAACAATTTTCCACATCTTCTTCCCATTGCCACCGAACTTCCTAAATGACAAATTAAACAACGAAAAAAGAGCGTGCTCAGAAAGAATGCTCAAATTCAAATCCAAGAGATCTTCCTTACTTGTTCTGACTGTCTAATCTTCTCAAGTTGAATTTGCAAACTTTGTGATAACTGTACAAAGTCCTTCTGGACGGCTTCAGAGGTATCTAGTTCACTTTGTAAGGAGGAACAACGAGCTTTATAGTTCTGGGCTGTCAGCTCTACGGCAGCACGCTCACTTTGGACCTGAAAATTCCAACAACTACAGTACGCCGACCATTAAAGGTTCAGCACTGATACAAATCAAAACTTGAGTAAATAGTACCGAAATAAATCCCTTCCCAATTTCTGGAGTGAACACTTTACTTCTAAAAAATAGAGACTAACCTGCTTCACTTGTGCCTCTAGTTCAGCCACAGTATTCTGAAGATCCCTGATTTGTCGTGAATGAGATTCATTAGACAGAACTACAGCATCAGCAGAAGAAAGCTAAACGTAAAGGGTAATCTTGCACTTGAAAACACGATAATATGAAGAATTATCAGGCACGGTAATTTAAAGAACGAAATGAAAAAATCACTTTACTAGCTGCAATCCCTAATTGTGTCTGGAGATGATTCACTTGGGCGAGGAGGTCTCGTTCCAAAGCAGCTTTGGCATTCCGCTCTTCATCGAGTTGTTCTCTAAATTTCACTCTTTACACGAACAGCTGAAAGAAAAATCTTTCACCAATGCATACGATATAAGTAGTCTGAAAATTTCACTAGCACATTATAAAGCACTCACCAGTACACCTTGTAACAAATGGAAGGGAATTCAGGAAAAAGCCATTTACCGCAAGTTTTACCGACAAGTGCTGGCAGTTCGAACCAGTAAAACTTGCAGTGATACTTGCTAGTACAAAAAGGGCTTTAACACGCTCACGCCAGCCTCGCAATCTAGTTACGGAATGGGACTAATCAGAACTTTCCTGTTTGAGCAAGATATGCACAAGAAAGTGAGAACTGGAAGCTTTTAGGATCTTGGAAGTTTCCAAGATCCTAAAAGCCAGGGAGAACTCCATTTTCAATAAATGGAATGAGCAAAAATAGATTCCTAGTTAGCCACGTTCCTGTTCTCGCACTACTCCTTTGCTTTCGCATCCCCCTTGATAGCTTTCTTTGATATCTCTCAGGGTCAATTTGCTAGACACAATTAGAAAAAAAGCACAAATAGAAAAGAAACTGTCGCACTTCAATAAAGCTATTTCGTCTCGCATGTCGTTTTGCTCATGTTGCCGTGCGGACTTCAATTCTATTAATTCCTCCCTCATCTGCAAACAAAGGAACTGCAATTGGTCTGCGCTCTGCGGGAGATCTATTGGTTCTGCCCTCATCTCTGCAGCTGTGGTCCTGTTTGTACCGAGCAGTTCCTGAATAGATCCTATCAAGGTGTAAAAACCGATATAATACGCTTCTTTGCTCTTTCTCGGCAGTACTAATCACGCCGACTAAGGGCTCAAACTTTTCAAAGGTACCAGGAACAATAAACAAGACAAGCTGGAGCCTTGCTAACAGTCCGACACGAAGGCGTTAAGAGAAAAAGTAACAAAACAGTAATGGCGAAATCATGCAAAACATAATGAGTTTCGTCTTCCAGGTAAGTGTTTGTACATCCTCCTGTTTCCTATTTGGAACTACTGCTGATTGGGCTCGCGCTAAGATTGGTGACCTTCTTTTTCTGAGGCTCCCCTATTGGATGTAATCAGCTGTTAGTTCCTGTCAGCCGCCGATAATGATCCCGTTCCGTCCCACCCCCTAACCAGTTCTCAAAACCGACGTCCCACGATTACTGCGACGGGCGCTATGAACTTCCTCATACACACGGGGACGCACACACAGGTACAGATACACTTAGCGAATTATAGAAGGGTTGTGCTGCTAGCGTAGTGTGAGATCATTCCCACATAGAGGCGCTCTTGTTGGTGAGACTGTAAGGAGTTTGAGCACTTAGTCAGCTACAGTGAGCACTTGATCAGCTACAGCTTTGACAAAAAGTACCTGGTATTTGGATGCGATTTGCTTCATGTCAGATTCGAATCCAGAACAAACGTGAGTGACATCTTGTATCTGCTCCGAACACTTTTCTATTCCTGCCTTGTGTTTTTCAACAAGTTCGTTTACCCGTTCTCTTGCAATTTTTACATTTAGCGGAAGACGCGCACACTCAACTCATGCATTGAAATGTGCATGCATAGCTGAATCGATGGATGACACTGTCCCAATCATCAGCTTTTATTAGGGCGAATCCGAAAAAACCACGCCACAACAAAGGAGACTTAGCAAACTAGATTGTGAACTGATCATTGTTTTTACGTGCTAGTGCCGAGCACGTAGTAATACAATGGTGAGTCCCAACTGGTAAAATTAAGAAGGCGGTATGTATGACAGGGGGAGAAATGTAGTCGTAACGAAAGACATTTTAGAGTCTCGCACATTGCAAAATCCTTCACCAAGTAATACGTGTTCTGAGGCGGATATGACGATCCCATTATACGATATGAACGACCTGAGATTCTCCACAACTTTATAAGAATACTTGGATCCATAGGCTCTATCGAAATGCATACAAACTCACAGACACCCCCCCCCCCTTTTTTGATTTTATCCAAGTATGGATCCGGAGCTAGTTGACATTCCAATTAGGAAAAAAGCACACAAAGTTGCCCTGACGCCCCAGTAAGACCCTGGCACTAGACGAGCACTCGGAGAAGCGAGATGACTAAGCAGACTAAGACAGTGGTCCTACACCGATTTAAACGCCCTTAATGTGGGGCGATTGGCCTGTCACGCCCTTGAAATGGTGAAGCCAATTCTACGGGGTGATAACGGCGGCAACGCCCCCGCCACTCAGGCTTCGTTCATACTTGGCGACAGCCATTTCAGCGCACGGCTGCGTTTTGAGCGATTAGGAAAGAACTGATAGAGATCTAGCGTACTGAGCGTACGCCTTCCAAAGACTGCGAAAAGTTCGAACCATCCGCGAAACGCTCAAGACCCTGACGTAGGCTCAAAACGCTAGATAGCTGCCTGTGGCTCTTAGTCACTCAAAAGACTGCCGTACGCTCAGTACTCTAACTCCATGTATGAACGCAGCCTCACAATGAAGCCGCGAAAGTGGAGCACAATTACGCGTGTTCAAGCCCTTACGGCATAATGCTAAGCAGAGAATGGCAACAAAGTTATGCGAGAAAGCTGAACCTCGTCATTTGTCTTCTCCGACTCTCAACCTGTACTTCCCTTTCGCGTTGCTCCAGTTCAACTTCATACCGATTCGGCTAGGACTTAGCATGCCCGAGAGTCTTCCTCCCGCGCTTCTCTTTCGTCTTTCCTAAAACTCTATAAAGTAAAAAAATAAGCATAAAAAAACATGAAATTAGTGCTACTGAGGAAAAACTACGAGATTTCAATGACAGAACTCAACTAAAACAAGCAATATTAGAAATACCGAACAAAGGGTGATTCTCCTCGTAAAGATGCATGCCAAGAATCAACCTTGTTGAAAAGGGACTTTCCCCTTACCCTACCACAATAAAATGAACTTGGATCTAGAGTTCAACAAGGAAAACAATACAATTACCTGAATCATGGTTAGATTAACTTCGTAATTCTGGCACATTTCACATGTGAGAGCAGAATTAGGAGATATTTGAGCGGATCGTGCCTCAGAACCTCCATTCTGAATGAAAGCATTATGAGATTTACACCACATATATCTGCACGCCTTTTTGGTTTCGTTTATCACTACACTTCCGAGAACCAGCCAAAAATAACTGTAATTTCCCTTGTGGTGTTCGCAGTCTTTTCATTAACACAGCATTTTTTCAGTGCTCATATAATAATCATCCTACTTTTTTTATAAACCAGGGTCACTGAATAAGATGCGATCCGGACGCCAATCGTTGTGGCGCTGGTACTGAGAGCCGTACTCGTGATCATGACATTAAGATTCCCATGGGGTTTTTGAAAAAAAATTGAAGTTCTTAGGTGGTAACAGGCTAAACTGACTAATATTTGCCCACAAACCTGTACTACTGCATCTTCAAGAAGAGCGTCATCGCCATCTGGCTTCACATCTGACGAAGCCTTCTTCCATTTCCTATCTGGAACCTAGACAATGGCATAGTTAGGGGGAAAAATAACTCCTTCAGAAGCAAGACACCGAAATTTGACCAGGTTTGAAACATTGAAGGATTCATTCACGAACTATGATGAAACGCAAGATAGTTTCAAATTACGATATTCATGGCCAGGCTTCTGCATGTGAGATCATCAAACGATGACGATGTGAATTACAGCGAAATGTAGTTGGCGGACAAAACGGAAAGGATAAGGACGTGACTCGGAAAAGCTCTACAAACAGCGAATGAAAACAATAAGAGAAAGGAGCTTTACATGAGGCTAGCCTCTACTGTTAAGAGCACGCTTCGAGACAGAAGCCACGACTGCCATTGTGTAGAGTGGGATCAAAATAGTAAGAGCGCGTTCCAGACTTCGCGATCGCGCGATCGCTGTGATCGCGCTACTGTGGGTGAAATTACACCGGGAGGGGGTCATGTTCGTTCATGTTTATTGTTCCTGTTCTTTTTTCCTTTTCCTTCTTTCTTCCTTTGTGTACATAACGCCCTCCTAATTTTAAGGAACGTTTCGAAATATCTTTGAGTTATTTATTATTTCCTATGTAAAATAGTACTAAATATACAATATGCTATACTGAATTTTGCATCTGAGTACGTTCAAGCGGAGTATTGAACATCTTGTTCCAAAAGTAAGACACGCAGAACTTTCAACAGGTTGTTTCTCTCCCTTCCCCCGATTTTGCCAGTCCTCCAGATATTCACTTTACTTTTGTCACATTGTGTTTGCTTTGTTTGTTCTGCCATCCTCCAGGTCTATACACAACCTTTCCTTTCGACGGTTTCTGCAAACGTCAGTATTGCGAATATGAACACGGCCTAAAAGACATCAAAAAAGGTCGAACTTACTTTTATATCGTTTTTGGAACTGCCTATTGGCAGGATACAGCATCGTGATGTGAGAAATGGTGATATCAGTACGACTCCCTTCCCAGAATTTGTTTGTTGAGTTGAGTTGAACATGAACGAACATGACCCCCTCCCGGTGTAATTTCACCCACAGTAGCGTGATCGCGCGATCGCGAAGTCTGAACGCGCTCTAAAGCGCTAAATAACTGAACAGCGAAGAAAAAACAGAAAAACGACCAAAAAAGCTTCACGGCTGTTCTTTAGGTTCATGGTTATTCATCTGCCTTCAGAAATGCTAGACGGACTTCATCGCTAGTAATTCCTAATCATATCTAGGAACTGATCTCTGTATCGGCTCCAGCCCAAGCCAATCAAGCTTTCCACCTATCGGAGAAGGTAAACTGGAACCGGATTCGCCTGGGAGCATAAAAACATAGATTTCTACATCAGCTGTCCCTCGGAAGTCATTGTATAGACCGAAACGCATTCTGTGAGCCACTACGATTATTAATGGAGTGCGTGCCGCATGCTAAAGAGGGATTGAGCAACGGCGGGGACTTCACCTTTCCGTCCTTTGTCATCTAGAACCCACTGTTGTGAGACAACACTTCATGTTCTAATCGGATGAAACAGCTGTTTTTCCTCTTTCTGATGAAAACAAGCATACTGGCAAGCAAATCTAGAAGTTCTATGTCGAAATTTCGGTGCAAAATTTGCACGAGCTGATCTTGCGACATCCAAGAACGCAACCAAGGCTTTGAGAATCCTGTTCAACAAGGGCAAAGCGTTCGTTACCTACAGATGGAAGGAAGCTGAGTGATATTTTCAGACAATCCTCTCATTACCAGACACCTTATCCAATCCTATCAAGATGTGAAATTGTTAGTAATTACGGTAAATTTAGAGTACTATCGATATGTACACTTTTTCACACTACTGCAGGAAAAGACGGTTCTCCAGAATAAAGCAGTGCGAAACGCTAGAAGATGAGGAAACAACAAGCTCTTTAGTGTTGCGTAATCTTAAGACAACGTGGCAGCCCGTCGCTTTTCTTCTGCTGGAAGGAATGAATAAGCAAGATACGAAATACCATCTTACCTTGGCTGTGTCGTGGTAAACACCCCTCATGCTAAAAGGCCTCTCTTCTTTCCCTCAAAGGTCAACCCGTGAGGAAAAGATGCTACGATAAGCGGTGTCTATCGCAGAACTGCGCCTTACATGTTCTGGTCGTAAAAAATGAGGACTGCGCTCTAGCACTCCAACCTTTGATCTTTGAAACATTATAGTAACTTATTAGAACGAATAATTGAATGGTAATCTGGTGTAAGTAGGGGATGATGGAATACTCCATTATCAGGGGTGGCAACAATCTTTCATGTAGAACTTCTGAACAGCAAGCAAATAAATAAATAACCAATGGAAATAGCAGCATTGCTTTTAGATGTGATGAAAAGGTTGAAAAAATAGCGAAAACACGATTGTAAACAATTCTATCGATGAACGCCAATCAACGGGAGGCTTATTGCCGAACTTTTCACGTTATGTTATCTTTCTCCACAAGCTTTCAGCGCACCCGAATTTGTGCCAAGTATCAACTTCCCACTCAGGTAGGGCTCATACCGAACCCTAAAGAGTCAGGAATCTAGAAAATCGGAGTATCTGCGAAAGGGAATGTATAGTCTAGTTCGTTGCTGACGAAGGGGCGTGCTAGGCGGACAAGGGACAAAACTATATCATACGGTTGTCTGACTCGTTGCCTACCAACTGCCCTCGCAAACCCGCTCCAGGGCAAAGAGCGGGTTTGGCGCCATGGCACAGTCATACTGCCTGCTCCATCATCCACAGCGAACTAGAGTGAAGCCACGTCAACTGAGCCCCAGTTAAGTTCAGCTGATACAGTTGTAGTACCTTTCGCGGATCTTGAGGTTCTTCACTATAGCAGGATATGACGTAGCCCCAAAGTAGCCACTTATTCATTAAGGACATCCGAGCGTTATTCGCATTACATTAGCACCAGTATAATACCTACTTTTTAGTAAAAACTTTCAGATGCTTCTACGCAAGAGAATTTATGATGACTGAAAATGAACCTGAAACCACAGAAAGGTCGTGAATAACCAGAACTCTCAGCACTTAGCACGAGACAACCCATAGCCTGGCAATCTGACAACTTCCACGTTCTTCAGAGGCTAAAAGCATTTCGGCATCTATAGACACGTCGACTGCCCAGTTACAGCTCCGGAACTGAACGTCAGGCGTAATGATAGACCCAACCAAGGAGCGTCTCACTCCAATCTCCATCAGAGGTAAGAAATTCATTAGTTACACGAATACAATGGATTGAGCGAAGAAGTAAGCCTCACTCACTCATTTGTGACCGCGTAACTGCGGAAATCCCACGATGTGGTAGAACTGAAGTGAGGGATGGTGCTGGAGGTACTTTAAGGCTTGGTTCATGACCAGCGTTGAGGGAGAATGTGAGAATCTGGCTGTGCTCGTACCTCGCGACACTGAGAATAGAAGAATCTGCGAACAAAGAATGCGTGGAAAAAAATACTGAATACGTATACGGATTGACCTATTCTCCAATTCTACGATTCGCCGTCTCCATTCCCCAGGTGATGAAATCCGTCTATACATATTCAAACTTTTTGCGCATTCCCCTACTCGCCGACCTTCCGATTCCCCAGATCGATACGTATTCCTTCCTCTTAGCGTATTAGGATCCGCGATCCATTATCGCAAGGTGTGAAAGCAGCCTAATAGTAATTGCCATCTCTCGGGTATCTTAGGAATGATGAAGGATCTCAGTTTTTCGACAGCACCACGCAAACGATGACGAATTACTTCATTTGTACCAAGTACTGCTTGCGAGCCTGACCGATCGCTTTCTACCTGATTCTTTTCGTTTTTTCAATCCCTTGATAAAGATGAATCGACGCTTCTAGGATTCTATGAAGAACGAAACTAGCGAAACCTCGAAATAAGTAATGA